GCATTGAGTGTATGGTCTAGCATAAAAGACAAAGAAATAAACCAGGCAGCACAAATTCAAATAACTGAAGCACCCTTCCTGATATCTCAGCAGAGCTTTCACTGTAACTCCACTGTGCAATCGGCCTTTTCAGTGTAATCACAGCTGTGGAAGGAACTACATTTTTCAGAGCTGCACACATCATCTCCGAGCTCACTCGGGCTCACATAAACAACTCGTTCTATGTAACCGCTATCACTCTGAGATTTAAATTCAGGATTACAGTGAATAACCCCAAACGATCCTTCACACTGCCTCCATCAAGCAGCAGATATCACAGATATCAACGTACACTAAAATGTTAAACAGCAAAATGAAGCTGTTAGCATCTTCCATAATTATAATGTACCACTAACTCAAATGAATGGTCCTGGTCAGTGTTATGGAGTTTGCAATCTTTATGTTTGGGAAGCGCAGTTTTTGCTTATTGGGAATAATATTAGTATCAATTGGTATTAATTAGCAATTAATACTGCTGCACTTTCATGTTGGTATCTCTGCACAATCTGCAACATGGATAAGGACGTTTTTAGGTGAGGACAACTTTGCACTCTTTGAAATAAATGTGCACACAAGAAGCCGCAACATCACATGAGAAGAGAGAACAGAAAGAGGGTAACTCTGCTGGCCAAATAAGGAGGGAGGACCAGGGAAAATAACAGTAAAGGACCATGAAATGTTATGCCTTTATGCAGTGCAAGCTCCATCTGATCCACTTTTAGTCACTACTCACTGTAGTCAACCAAGCTCTCCTGCGGGTATAGTCTACATTTTGTCTCATCATGCTTAAAGTGTGTGTGTGTGTGTGTTGGGGGGGGAACTCCTAGGTACTTCTTTTTCACTAGTCACAAAAATAGTTTTGTTTTGGGACCACATAGTATGTATTTTGGTGGGCGGGTAATTCTACGTTTACTAGAGCAGGGGGGTGTTCAAACCTGGCTACAGAGAAAATCACTCAGCCATACGATTTGTCACACATCACCACCATGAGGGAATGAGACTGTCTCAGATTCATTCTTCACTGCATAACGGTTAGTCCAAACTAAGGTCTGACCAATACTGGGACTGTGGAAAGAACTCAAACAGTGGAACAGTGTCAGTAGAACCAGTGCACTCCATACACCACACAGTAGCAGGATTTATTTAGCATATGGCCACACCCACCTTATATAAAACTGTATATATATATCAAACACTGTATTTAAAAGAGAGAGAAAAAAGCTACAGGCCACTATGTCGACATCTGAATTTTTATAATTATGTGAACTACTTTTAGTATTTGAATTACTTTTTTTTGACTCTGTACACAACCAGTTGATTTTAAATCAAACAATAAACATGTGATTGAAATGCACCATCTCAGCTTTAACTCACAGGGTTTAACAAAAGTGTTGCATTCACTTTTTCTAAATCACAGCCATTTGTATACATAATTCTCCGTTTTCAAAGACTCAAAAGCAACTGGACAATTGACTCAGGTGAGGCCTTCACCTCTGGAATACATTGAGCACATAAAAGATCTGGATTTGATTACTTGTTGCCACATCAACAATACAGACACTCTTAAAAAAAGAAATCCAATGGCCAACTTAGCAACACCAAAAGGCCTGAAAGACCAAGGAAGAAAATTGAAGTTGATGATGGCATATTTTATTCTTTGGTTAAAAAAATAACAAACAAATAAATAAACCTTCACAGCATCTAGCAAAGTCAAGAGCACTCTCAAGGAGGTAAACGTGTCAATGCCAAAGTCTACAATCAAGACGTGTTCTCATGAATATAACCACAGAGGTTTTACAGCACTGTGATTACACTCAAGAACCGAACAGTCATCTAAAGAAATTCTTTGAATAGCTGCAACCAAAGTTAAGAGTGATGGGAGGAGAAACGCATTGAGAAGGGGAAGAACAGCTCTTGATCAAAAACACACCACATTATCTGAAGGTGGAGATGGACATGGCTATGCATGGCTGCCAGTGGATCCAGTGGAACAAGATCACTAGTGTTTATTGATAATGTGACTGCTGATATAGAAAGCAAGACTAATTGTGATGTGAACAAGGCCATACTCTCTGCTCAGATTCAGCCAAATGCAGAACTCATCAGACAGTTTCACATACAAGGTGTACGAAGGCATAATTTAAAAAACTGTGCCGCTGTCCAAATATTTATGGACCCAACAGTAACCCTAACCCAGTTTAGTTTTAGTAGCTCAAACTATACTTTGAAAACAACACCTGAAGCCTTACCATCACATAAAAGCTTTTACATTTGTGCTACATATTACCAGAGAGTAGTCAGAAAGCTATGAAACCTTTTTGGGTAATTACAATAAACACCATCAACCAGCCTCACCAACCACAAGCTGATGGTTGTATTGACGAGGCAGGTCATTTTTCTGTTGAATTCAGATCCATCACTTGGACTCTAAGGACCTCCCATCATCACTAGAAATAGGCTGTCATTTTCAATCAGCCTGGTCGTTTTTTACGATTCTCTTATCAGTCCTCTTCTGTACTCTTTCAATGCCGTCCAAAGATGAGTGAGGCACATATGGTGACGGTAATCAGACATGTCATGAAAATCTTTCATATTGTCTGCGTTCTCACAGCTGGGCAGGCATGTAATATAACAACTCAATAACTCATTTTAGACAGATATAGACTGTAACCGCAGGAAAGGAACATGGAACTTGGACAAAGTGACCCTAATATTCATAAATAGCACTTTGATTTGGATGCTTCATTTTTGATTGACCCCTGTCTTTATTCATGCAAACAGTTTGACACTTCTTACTCACAAAATACAAACAGACAACTTTCTTTATATAGAAAGTGCATGGAAAAAACTTTGCCACAGTGACACTGGCAAAAAGAGAAAGCTTAGAGAAAAGTACAGCGGTGGGAGGCTTTAATAAGCTATAATACGTGACATGTCTCGCGATGTGGACATGAACCTAACCTCTGAACGTTGATGACTTAGGACTTAACCTAACCTTAAAGATTCCCTCAAGACAATATTTGAAGATATATGAAAGACCTGCTTCGAATGATAATTTGTGTGTGATGAGGTTTTCAATGCAATTTAATAATAACATAATAAGAAATTCAAAAATGACATTTACACCTTGTTTAAAAAAACAAAAAAAAAAAAACAGAATGTATGAATATGTTCAAAAATATCATTGCAGATGTTTAGGGTGTCGACAAGCTGTCTCATACATCACATAAAGTCAATTTTTGATATTTTTTGCAAAGGAGCCATTATGGAAAAGATATATATAAATCTTATAAAGTTTGTATCTGTCTTGTGTGAAACTTGTATGAAAAGCATACAAGAGTGAAAACAGATATAAGATCCCTTGAAAAATTATATAATGAAACTTGTATGTTTTGGATACTTACTAAAACAATATATGAAAGTAATGAGAAAGTGGCCACTTTCATGAGTAAATCATATAAGTTTTTACTATTTCTTTTCCATATGGGAGGCATCGGGTTCCCAAAGCTCCCTGGTCTATGATGCTTTCTGGACTCAAACTGGCTTCCAGTCATGATGTCAGAAAATCTAATTTTGATTTTGGGAGAAACTTTCCACTTTCAGTAGAAGAATTTTAAAACAGCATCAATTATTTGTACGGGTAAGATCAAATATCAACAGGGATACCAGCTCTCAGACTTTTGGTGTGAGTCTCTGTCAAATAAAAGAGAAAAATCTTGCCCAATATAGGATAGGAAGAAAAAAAAAAACACATACAGAGTGGAAATGATGGAGTTTGTGTAGCCTGACAAAGGCAAAGGAACCCTCACTAACATCACACAATACCCTATATTGAGTTTTGATTCAGTCAATTTGAAATGGTCACATAAATGCAAAATTTGCTCAAAACATTATCCATTTGTGTTTAAATTTGTGAATTTCATAAACACAGTTTTGCCTTCAAATGTAATCCCTGTTTTGCCAAAATGATAATACCTGCCATAGTATCAATAGGATTTATATAAGCATATAAGTACACCACCAGCAACTTAATTATCAAATACAACTGAAATTCAAATGTAACCACTAAATCTGAGATGTCTGCCTCTGTCATCTTAATTCAGGAAGAAGTAGGCAATTTTACCCTGGATACACAAAAATATGTATTTTTCCCCTGTAATGTTTATTACATATATTTTTGTTGTTTCAATTCAATGTAGTTATATCTATCTATCTATCTTCACATCATCTAGTAGAGACTGGGTGAAAGGGGGGTTTTAAAATTCTCCACTTGCCCTGCGGGTGGTCTTTATCCTCCCCCAGGGTGCTGGGAGCTTGAGGGTTCTACACAGTATCTTTGCTGTTCCTAGACCTGTGCTCTACATTTCTGGCGCTTCTTATGTTCCTTCTTCCCAATGTTGCTACAACTCAGTAAATCTATCAGTATGGCTGTCTTCCTCTGCTTGTCCACTACTATGTTCGGTTGGTTTGCCATCACCAGTTTGTCCAGCCGTCCCACACGATCTTAGTTTGGTCATTCGCAACCACCCTAGGCGGCAGATCCCATTTTGACCTCGGGACCTCCATGCCATACTCGCACAGATGTTCCTGTAGACCAGGGGTCCCCAATCCCAGTCCACGAGGGCCGGTGTCCCTGCAGGTTTTAGATCTCACCCTGGGTCAACACACCTGAATCACATGATTAGTTCATTACCAGGCCTCTGGAGAACTTCAAGACATGTTGAGACGGTAATTTATCCATTTAAATCAGCTGTGATGGATCAAGGACACATCTAAAATGTGCAAGGACACCGGCCCTAGTGGACTGGGATTGGGGACCCGTGCTGTAGACTATGCCAGCTACTTTGTTATGGTGTTCCATATATGCCCTGCCTGGTAGCATCTTGTTCCTGATGAAGGCTCTTAGGATCCTGTTAATCTTGTATAATTCTAGGCCTTCATGTGTGAGACACTGAGTCATAGCTTTCTTTTGCTCAATCCAGGGAGCGCACAGGTTGGTCAGTCTCCTCTTAAAGTCTTGACACGAGCATTCTATCTACCAGGAGCTGGTGTTTCTGCCAATTCCTTTCTGTGCCCTGCTCATGTTATGAGCCATGTGCCTGTTAATCTTAGCTCCTATGATATCTGACAGGTGTGGTGCTGAAGCGGGTTATTGACCACGAGGTGGATGCGACTAATCCATTCTAGGGATCCTTGGGGATCAGGACTGTCTGGCATTTGGTTAACAGATTCTGGTTGCATCTCATCCATTAGCAGCTGGTTCATATGTGCTGCCAGACACGTATGCCTTCTTGTTGTACTAGCCCACTTCTCAGCACTGTGTCCTGATTCCTTCCTGAAGTGGACCTTGTTAATCTGGGCAACACTGACTGCTGAATTTACAGGGTAATAGCTTTGGTGGTTACAGTCTGATGGTCACTGGAAAAACAAGCTTGTCAACATTGGAGGCGATCTCAATGCAGAGAAATATTGAGATAATATTCTCCAACCTGTGGCAATCCCATATCTCCACAGTCTAGGCATGCTGTTCATGCCAGGGTGACCAAATCAACCACATTGGCTGACTTGAGACAAATGCTGGGTGACTAATGAGACGCCATCCCACAGCAGTGTGGGCCCAAGCAGGTGGCCACCACAAGGAGGAGGTGGCAAGCTGCTATGGCTGTATATGGTTCTTCCACATACTACTGAGGCCCCTGTTTGTTTAATGAATGATGGGTTAAATTGTCAGTATATGTTGTTTCTGGAGACTTTCATCATCTAATTGAATAAAGGACACCAAACATGAGTCCACAGCAGAATAAAGTGCTTGGAATTGGCAGAGAAGATTTGGCCAATTTGTAATGGTCACAACCCACATACTCAACACTGCTGCTTCACTGATAGGAAGTGGTGACAGCCTGTAGACCAACACTAAACTTTCACTGCAGTGCAAAATTTTACTGGTTGGAAATATTAAATATCCTGTCAGACACTGTAGTGTGGAGTGTGGCTTCATTTTTCTTGCGTAGAAATATGACTCTATAGCATATATTTCCATGAAACTTCTCTCACATAACTTGCTACTTACTACTTCAAATTTAATTTGAAGTAGTAAGTAAATATATATATAAACATATATTTCCTTTGTTAAACGCATGCCGAAGTGAAATGTAAAGCGTTGTAAAACACAAGGTTTTGCAAAGCTAGGTATGTATGTTTACTGCGTTATGAACAGGAATTATTTTTTAATTTTTCTAGTGGAAACAGCGTCCTCCCCGTGCCTGTCCTTCGGGGCGTTTATCCGCCTCCTCCACCCCCTCTGTAACATGAATGGAGGCTCGGCTCTTCAAATGTGTTTATATGATAAATTTATTCGGCTGCGACAAACCAAACGTCGCCTAAAACAGGGATGCGGCACATTTTCCATGATTTTCTGAGCGGACTTGTGTAGCCTGTGTTCGGTGTTTGACTCTAAACGTCGTGGTGTGTGTCGGTACTCACAGCACTGCAGATAAATAAACCGCAACTTCCAGTGTCTGTCCTGGTTTTTCCGCGTTATTTTGATGGACAGAGTGCTGAGACTGTTGTCAGGGATGGGACAGGGGCTCGTTTGGTTTCTTATCTCCACTGAATCGGTCGCCATCATTTTTACTACCCTATCTCTGTCCCCCCCAATCTCCTCTCTCACTCTCTCTCCTCCTCTCCCTCCCTTCTCTCGCAGCGCGCGAACACGCGTTGTCGTCGGGATGCTGCGCGCGCTCGATGGTCTTTCTTTCTGTTTGGAGCATGATCCACCCAAAGGACGTTTGAGTCAAAGCTAGCTCAAAACAGGTATGGTGAATAATATAATGAGCATTTAAAGAGGAAGCAGCCTGCAAAAGACAGATTTAATGTGATAAAAGAGGAGACGGGAGCACACAGACAGAAGCAGCGCTTTTATACAATATTTTATACAATATTTCAGAAAATACTGCTGAGGCATGATGTGGGATGATTCAGTAGATGTGACAAAATTACTTGAAAGAGTGCTGGCATTTAACATGATATTGATAAAGACAAATTGGTAATAAATATTGTGTATGTACAGTGGCTAAAAAAACATTGATGTCCATGTACTGATTTCTATTTGAAGCAGAGATTTATGGGAGAAACAAAAGGGTAGTTTGTGCATTTAGATGGGATGAGGAGCTCGATAATTTTGTTCATTCAGTAATGCTGCTCCTCCACATCAAAAGGAACCAGATGAGATCGTTTGGGCATCTGGCTTAGGCTACGTCCACACTTACATGTGTATCTTGGGACATAACGTAGCTTTTTCTATGCATTTTGGCCTTTTGTCTATATGGAGATGGACAAACTGAGCCTTCAGAAAAGCCCTGTTAGGGTGAAGATTTGCAGAAAAGGAAAACAGAGGTTTTGTCTTGTAAGGTGGGCATCTTTATCAAATTTTTTGACATCAGAATGTGCTGTGTGTTATTGTTTGTGAGCTGTTGATTGGCCAGCATTTCTTCCTGGTGTTGTAACAACTCCTGTTGCTTTAGCATGCTCTTGACAGGAACACGCTACACCTTTTCATCTTTGTGTAGAAAGAAGTGCACTGCAGCATGATAATCAGCCAAGTACACATTAGAGCTCTCTCTTACACGAAGCAGAAGAGCTGCTGACTGTCATGGACGTTCACCCAAAAGTTGTCTGACCTCAACCACACCCAACATTTGTGGCTGCTTGAAGACTAAAAACTCCCTTACAGCACAAGCTGTTTACAGCATTGGAGCATCATGCTGAAATAAATGAGCTGTAGGTCAACTCCATATAGCTCAACATGGAGTAAAGCTAAGGATGGAAAGCATGTCTGTGTAGGTGCTGTCATCCAGATTCCGTTGCCTTAATAGCTTGAACAAAGAAAGTACATGGACTTATTTAAGTTTGTAAAGAAGTTTCATCTCTCAGGCTTTTGAGTTCTGAGAGCTCTGGCAGTGGAAAGCCAAATACCAATATAACAATAAAAGCTTAAGAAATCCATGCACATTAATAATAATAACAACACCCATAACCCAGCTTCTCCTAACCGGAACCTATCAGAAGCAAGGGGAACCTTGAAAGCAAGTGTTGTGTTGGTAAAGTTGGGAATTCATATCAGTGTACTCTGTTTCACAGGTGACACTGAGCTGGGTGGATGTGAGCAGGTACCCGAAATGTTAAAATCTGTTTTTGCCCACTCTCCAGTAATACCTCCACCCTCCAGCTCTTCAGAGAGTATACCAAAGCATTGCTGAGAGACATAATCTCTCTTTAACATATCCTGTGTTTGCCCCAGGGCCTGCTGCCAGTTGGACATGCCCCAAACACACATATTAGGTGTCAAGGAGGCATAATGACCAACTCAACTGACTTCTTGCAATGCGGAGGAATAGCAACTCTACTCTGAACCCTTTCTGAATGATTAAACTCCTCACTATGTCTTGGAGCTCCTCTCAGGAAGCTCATTTCTCCTCTTCACTACCTATAGCTTGTGGCCATAGGTCAGGCTAGGAATACAGATTGATTGGTGAACTGACAGCTTTATTGTCACACTCATTTTGCAGGCAAATAATAGTTGACAAAAAAGTGTATTGACCTTCAAGTGTTTCTTTTCATTTATTCAGTTTATTCCTTATCCAACCATATTACTTTCCCTCATTTAGTTTGCTTTCATCTTAATAATCACTCTTAATAATAGAGCTACATTTTTGGTTGTGTTTGAACCATTTAGCCATATTCTAAACAAGCACATATTCCTACATGTATTTCAGAATTGCAGTTGTACTTTCATAAGTTTTTCGGTGTGAGTATTTTTTATAGGTGACAATTTCATGAACAGAGATAACCTAACCTTATCCCTATTGTCACCCTAATTTGGAATTAAAGTGACTAACTTAGCTACAACTCTAACATTATTCCAGATGTTGAAAACATAATGGCACATGTAAGTTTACAGTTGCAGAAATGAAGGCAGAAGTTTAAAACTGTTTTTATTGCATTGAAAATTCAACAAGACTTTACATAGTGAAGAGGACAAAAAATCCATGCCAACAACCCGCATAAGCGGGTTAGTGTTAATATGTCATGCATAAGAAACCAGGTCATTCTAAATATACAATTAAGAAAAACAATAACAACACAGTGTGATTAATAATTGCAGAATGCAAATGTTGAGAATTAGAAAACAGAACATTCAGATTTTGTGCAAATTCCACAATACAGCAGTTTCCAGTATTGTCTAATTTTATTAAAAATATATATTTCACATTGCATATCAGTTTAGCCTAACTGTCCAAAATTTCAAATAAATACTGTACACAGTAGACAGCTCACAGTTCAGCCAGGTCAAGTATTTTTAAACCTGTGGGTTGAGACCTCTTAAGAGGTAGGGTGAATCTGTGTTTGTGCAATTATGCAATTTGTACTGCAATAATCATGTTTACGTGATATTTTATCCTCGTACCCTTATTATCTTGTCATGCCTGTAACCTTTTCATTTAAAAAAAAAGTTGGTGAACCTCTGGTCGTTTATGTACAATATATTAACAGACAATAGCAATAGCCAAAAACAATAATCCATGTACAAAATTGTGAAGTAATGATGACACTCTGCATGGCTCATGCAATTACTGTATAAACCAAAACTAAAAAAGATGAAAGCATATGCTGTGAAGCAGACTGACCATACTGTAACCCATCAGACCAAATGGAATCAAACTGACCTTTTAGTTTGTCAAAATTGGATTAACTGTATGTGGTAGATAATTAGGTAATTTACAGTGTAATTAAATAATGTGTAGTATCACTCAATAATATTTGTGTCGGTCATGCATAGAGCTCAGTGACAATGTTTGAATAGCTTTTAAGGTGAGACCTACTTTCTGTCCATCTAGGACGTAGTCTGCTTACTGTATGTTAAGTCTGTGACACAGTGACAGGATCAGTATCTCTCACGCATGGACAATACACAACAGACAATACATTTACTTTACAAAGTGGACAAAGACTAATCAAACAACAACGAAACTCTTTTAAAAAAAGGGAAGATACGTCTTTTAAATATTCAAAATAAAGACCTGAACCGGAGCAGGCATAACATGCTTATTGTATTGGTAGTCCACTGATGTGCCTGGTTTGTATGTAATGCACAGCATGCATGATAGTTTAAAACCTTTAGCAATTTGTAATGACTGAATTTCTGATTAATTACATGACATATGTATTATCATATCTGTTAACTAGCTAAAACAGCAAGCTAGTTAAAAAATAAAAATCTTAGTAACAACAATCAGTTTTCAAAAGTTGGATTTAACAAAATTCAACAGATGTTACAGATACAGCTGTTGGTCCAGTCTGTTTACCACAAGCAGCCAGTCCATAATCTATAGCTAAGCTAGCTACAGGCGGAATGGGTTTTCTGTGTTTACTCTTAAACAATTACATCACCACGAAAACTTGTTTTGCATATAGTCAAAATGCAGTGTAATGCTACTCCAATAAACGATCGTGATAATCAGATATATTAATGCCACATCAGTAACTTATTGATGAGATTCCATGGTCAGTCAATTAAAGTTTTTGGTATGCCATTTAAATAAATTAAAGCATTTTCTCCTCTGATAAAAGGCACGTTATTTAAAGCATTCGACATTTACATTTTTTGATCCCTGAAGAGTTTTTTTTTCTTATCAAATCAGTATTGCATTTCTGCTTATTTACAAACTGGATAGTAACATGTGTAGAAATGATCAGTTTAGCTTACAAAAATTTTGCGTATCAAATATTTTCTAGAAATTGAGAGGAAATAATAAAAAAAAAAAAAGCACGAGATTTGAAAGGTTGAAATTCAACTATTTGAGTGCATTGCAATTAATGCAAAAACACTAAAACACATGAGAGAGCAGACAGATTATCTGGGGAAGAAAAACAATTGTAGTCAACACTGTTGGTATCTCTCCAGATGCTTAATTATTTCTCAGAACATTTTATAAGTGTGTAATCTGTACAAATCTCCAATTTAATAAGAAATTACAAGATGTAAACTCTAAGCCCATCCATTACCCTCCCACCCCTTAATTATGCTACAAAAGTCTATCACATTCAAACTAATATAAATAAGTCAAGATAAGAAATATTACGTATAAAATTGTTATCTTTTTCCCATTGCTATAATCACAGACACCACTATTACAAACATCATGCCTAACTACAAAAAACCTGAAACCACTTATTTTTCTATTATTTATATCTCATGATTCTTGTTATTTCAAGGATTATTGAGCTGTTGATCTGTCATTCACAGCTTTAGATTGGTTCCAGCTAAAAAACCACAAACCAGGATATACTATTGCTCTTGCTCACAACAATCCTCTACTTGTTTCCCAAACAATTTCACGATATTAATTAAAAACGCTAATGAAAAAAGAGATTTATTGCTCAGCTCTCCATCCATGCATGTGCAGGCTGTTAAAAAGAGCACATCAGCCTTAGACTCAGAAGTGTCTTGTCGTGTGAGCAAACTGATGCAGAATGAGAGAGATTGCTTGACTGTGATAATAATTAGTGAGAGAATGTGTGAAGAATAAAGAGACAGAGGACTGTTGTCACTTAGAACACTAGGAGTTTGCAGTATGTTGTGCACACACTGAGAAAATGGGATAAATGACAAATGGAGATAGAAAGCAACTGTCAAACAGGGCATAATGGTTGTAAACATTCATCCAGCTGCCATTACAGTGTGTGCTGCTGCTCATTCTGCTTTAAACTAAATGAATGTATGCTAAAATATTTCACTTATTTTCCAATATATTTACCTGATGTAGACACTGAGATTGTCAGCAATACTACACTGGACTGGTTTTCTGAGTAGCCAAACAGAATATCTGGTTCAGCTGATTAAAAATGCCTTTTACACTAACGTTGACTGTGTTAGTCTATTGATTGCCCCTCTTCTAATCTTGCATTTCTCTTACTTGTCTTTCTCATATGGCGTTTGCATGACACAGCCAGTCCCAGCTTTAAGCCACCATTCATACTTCAAAATAGGGATTACACAACCGCTTCTTTTCACCTGACACTGAGGAGCTATATTGGTTTTATCAGCAAGAGAAATTAATGGCATTGCACATAGTCATCTATGAAGACATATTTAAAACAGCTACCTTTAAGATCCTTTTTGTTGACTATGCTACAACATAGAAATTGTAGAAGAGCTGCTTTTATTTGTGTTATTGTGTCAAGTTGAGCTGTGTTGATGCGCTTCATCAAATGCAGCAGACACTGCTTACAGTGTCAGCAAAAGGGTGATTGTTGGGTAGGCTGATACTAGAATGGCTTTTTGCTACACGAAGCCACACGGAGAGCTGAGTTTTAAGAATATTTCAATTTGCATCTAACTTTGCTAATGCTAACGTTGCATTCCCCTGCCCCAAAGCAAAAACTTTATTTATAAACTGTTTGCATCCTGAGGCAAAATCTATATTACATTCAATTAATTATTATTAATTCTTATAATATTTTTTAATAAAACAGAAAAAGGCCTCTGGATTAGCTAAAAAATATTGGCTGCTTTTTAATTAACTAAGCAAACTAGCCATTTGGTTGGGCAGCTAGTATTTGGTTTGACGCCAAATGAAAAATCGGATTTGGAACATTTTAGGGAGCAGCTTTCCCAAATTTTGTTGTCGCAGCAATTGTGTTCGCAGTGAGTGCAAAGTTAACTTTTTTCTAGTATAAACAAGATTTCAAGGTTGTCAAAGTTACCCTGACCCAAACCATTTTTGCCCACTGGCTTTACAACAGCTTTTAGTAATGTGTCTACAGCTCGTAATCTTGTGCAGGGATTTGCTCCTGATGAAAACTTTTCAGGCACAAATTACATACCTGGTGTAAAGTACTAAGAAAGTACTAATGCTGTTTATTACGTTCACTGGAAGAGAATTTATTGCAATTTAAAGAACCTCACTGTCTAAGCATCATATGCATGTATAAGCCCTAGTGTGTGTTAAATTTGTTTCAATACATTCATCAGTCAAGTCTCTGAAATGTCTCTCTACAATATGAACTGCATATCGCTGTCATTCGTTTGACACTAATTACTGGAGAGGTGTGGAAGTGAACACCTTTATACTTTACACATTATAGACTGGTGATACTATGGAATGGCAGCTCCAATGTCTTTGAGCATTGTTTTTTCAATAGATGGATTTCCTATGACCTTAAACCTTTTTCAGGACTATAGTATGATGGGTAAGATTGGTTAGAAGATCAGCTGTCTTCTGCTATTTGCATTGAATTAAACTTAATTAATTTAATATGTGCCAGTTACGTCAGTTTCAGTAAAAATCCTCATTCACTTGAATAATTCTCAAACAAGTCCAAACCAAAGCACACAAGCCTCTCAGCTGACTGGATGGCCCTGAGGATGAGAGACAGAGACTGGTTTGTGGCACTGTGGAAAAGTACTTCTTTGTTTGCGGAGTTGTGTTTGATTGTTTTGCTGGGGATGTTGCAAGGCAGGACAGCTTCCCGAGGGAACTTCAAGATGGAAAACTGAGGAGTCTTTCCTGGAAGGCTGTATAACAGATTCCTGTTGAAGGACATAAAGAGAAGAGAGTGTCACTAAATACCTCAGGCATGTTTTAAAATGTATATATCTAACATCCATACTAATCCGTTTTAGGACCCCCAGGCCTACCCAGTCTAAAGCTCAGTGGTAGGCAATAACTTTGGGAACTTTGGTGCAGACAACCATATTCACTGAGTAAAATCAGTCACTTCTTTTTCACCGATTCAGGAAGACAACAGAAACATCAGCATTCACCATCAGTGGTTAATTAAACATAAAAAGTTACAGGGGTTGCTGAGCTCATTCTCTATAGAGGAGCAGCTGCTGCGCATTTATGCATTTAACATGAAAACGTGTGCATGAATAGTCATGTGATATCTTCAGGTGTTTCGTGGAGAATACGTCTGAAATGCTGCTATGTGCACCTTTAGTTTATCTGAAGTTACATCTAAGTTCATAATAGCAGAATGTAGCACGACAATTCAATTAAATTAATGATTACATTTATCCAGTATGGCAGTTTTATTTGTGAAGCACATTTCATATTTGTATTTTTCAAAATGCAAAAAGAAATAATAATAATAATGAAAGCAACAGCCATCAAAACAATAACCTTTTTACAACAAATTAAAAACTGAAAAAGACAGGCAGTAAAGAGGCGTTCTGTGAGTTAGTCTTTCAAGTAATTCCGGTTTAGTTAAAGGCATAAAATCTTTTTAACATGGATATAAATTTGGTAAAAGTGGGAGCAAGCCCATTAAAACTCCAAATGCTAGTTACATACATAATGTAATGTTCTATTAATTCTAGATGACTGCCAGATGTACTGGATTTTTAACATCTGTGTTGAACAGTAACAATGAAATGGAGCACTCATTGTGCTGACAGCTCATATTTTTTTCATATATTTTCATAAGTCTTTATAGGGACACACAGAGTAAGCATAACAACATAATGCTGTTTTATACTTGGCACAGGGTTTTTGTTTGATTTGTTGGGAAAGATGAAAGAGATTCCCTGGGAACAGAAAAGCTCATTGCCATCAACACCACAGAGCTCTACCTCATGTGATATCGTGGATCTGTGTATAACAAGATGGCACTTTAGGCCGGCCCATTTTGCATGTCATGTTTTTGCATTTTTGCGAGAAGTCACGACAATAACAGAATTATCAAACGTTTTGTCAAATGAAATTCATTAGCGTACTATAAAACACAAACTACTGTCCTTAAACAATTGCATTCTGTTTCTCGTTGTGGTTTTGTCACATTTGCTACTCGCTGCCACACACCTAAAGCAAAGCATGTATATAAATAGAGATGAGCCTTTGAGGGTAGCAGAATACTCATTTGTAGGTCAGAAAGGCAGTGACTGCGGAGTGTTGCGCTCCTCGGGGCTCAAGTACATTGATTTCTCTTAAAGTGGCTGAACTGCCAGTCTCAAAAAGTAAATGGAGTGATTCTTCATGTGTTAAGACACAGGTCGTGGGCTGCAGGGTGTGAAGGAGCATTGACCTTCAGTACACAATTTAGACTCAAAGTCAGAGTGTTATGGAGATTCTGTATCTGCTCTACAACATAAAACCAGTATATGACACCAGTGACGCTTCTCCTCCAAGTTAAGGATGGTTAGGTGCAATATTTACAATAGGGTCATAGAATATCTGATACATGGAATATCAAAATGTAAAATTTGGCTCCTGCATGTGAGACACTTTGATATATTCCTACAATCATTGGAATAGGTGTCAAAATATTTGGCAGTGACTTAGTATGAAAATCTGGCCAGCAATAACTACTCTACTACTAAACGAAACTTTTAAGATTAGAAATAAAACAATTCCTTTGTGAGTTACTGAGTTTAGTTAGGGCTGGATCAGATTACCCTGAGCCATCCGTGATCATGCTGCTATAGGCTCAGGCTGCTGGAGGCCCTCCAATGATATATTTCGTCTCTCCTCTCTTTTGCACTTTACATACGTATATTCCACTAGTGCATATTATATTAACTTTGTGTTATTATCTATCATAGTTTGTTTTTTCCCTCTTTTTTGTATGTCAGTTCTTTGTGTTTTCCTCTTTTCCCTTACCCCTACGGATCCAGGCAGATGGTCACCCTCAAGAGACTAAAGGTCTTTTTTCTAATTCTTTGTCTCCAAACGCTTGCTCATAGAGGTCTTTTAGCTTTTATCTCTAATGTTGAGGGATTACTTTAAAATATAAAGCACAGTGAAATTACTTTTGTTGTGATAAACTGAGGGGATTTTGTATTGCCAAAAAAAAGTGCAAATATGTAGATGGCAATGATAGTTCATGTGCTACTCAGTCTGTGGGGGAGTATACTGCATTATCCAGAAAGCCAAAATCAGGAAGTTCTACATGCTGCAAAAATTGCACATTTGTTGAAATTGAAAAGTAAAAAAAAAACAAACAAACAAAAAAAACAAAAAAACACCAACAATATAAAATGTAGTAATAAAAAACTATGATATTAAAAATGTATTTATGCATAAGATGTGTTATTTAATTTTTAGCTATCATACTTTTTTGTTTTGTCTTGTTATTTGGAAGCATTCTCTAATGCAGTGATAGAAGTTAAATTGGCAGAGAAGTTAAAATAATTGTGCATATGATGTGTGGAGATTGCCCTGCACTAACTTTAGATTTGTGTCCTGAGTTTGATGTTTTAATATCAACATTGCAGCTTTATGTCTATATGAGCTGCAGGCCTTTTCTTTTCAATGTACTGTACCCCATGAGTGGCTGTGGAAGGGAGGGAGTGGAAAAGTCTTTCCTCCTCTGGAGGAATTCGAGATCTGAGTGATTCATATAATCCTTAATCACAGTTAGTACCGCCACCTCCTTTCGTGTCCCAGTGATATTACAGTCAAAATAAACTTGAAAGCCAACATCAATCAGTTACAGTTCCACCCAAGTCTGATGCTTTGCAGTTGGTTTAATCGGCCAGTCAGTGGGGGTTACTGCATGTAGTGCCTCAGATAAATTCTACTTAAATCAACACCTGGGGTATAAATGTAACATGAGTGAATGGAAAGAGGAAGTTTGACTGGACTCGACTGATGTTTCACTCTTACCATTGCCGATGCCGTTAGAAGGAGTCAAAGTTGTCCTACGCATAACTCAACACGTTTTCCCAAAGTTAAAAGATCATGTAAGGGTTTTACCTGGAATGTACTTTTTGGCTTAAACATTGAAATCATCTTAAGTCTGCTCACAGCATTAAAAGGATATTCCAAGTGTTGACTCGTTCATCATGTTCATTAGTAAAGATAAATACTCTCCCAAAAGCTCTTAACGTTCAATTTCACCAGCATAGCAAATGTATATCTGAGAAACATTTTTCCAGTTTTTAGTTCACATCACACTTATGTTATGTTCTATGTTGTTATTTTAATGAGACCTTTCCAGTTGTTTTGCCTCCGAGTTCCTCCACATTGGTATTATGATTAGTTTTATTTCAATTAATGTATGATATTGTAAGCACAGGACATTGCCACAGGTGTATAAAATCAAGCACCTACAGTAGCCATACAGTTTTACTTACAAACATTTGAGAAACTGTGAGCTGTTCTAAAAAGCTCATTACCCTCTTAGATAGTCTTTGATCAACTGTAAGTGATGACACATCCAAGGAGCCAGAAGTGTTTGACAGAGTGGGCTTGCCCAGTTCTGAGGGACATTGGCGTAAAATTTGCCACCACTCTACTGAATCAGAGTTCCAAACCACAGCACAAAGGCTGTAAGTTGGGAGCTTTATGGCATGGGCTATCATGGCTGAGCTACTGGATTTTCGTACTTCTGAAAGCCCTGAAAAAAAGAATTGGTTTTAGAAACTATCAGCTGATGGATTCCCAGAACTATATACGTAAAGACAGAAACTGGGAAAGATGAAGTGTCCTATCTGTCAAGTATCTCCAAAAACTGTTTCTGGATGTATCTACAGAACTGGGTTTGGTTTAGTGGTCACCAGATATTGATTACAATTAGATTTTTTTTCTATTGTCTGTAGTATTTTCTATTGTAACTATATAACACTCACAGACAGTATAAAAGATGCATGTAGCTATGTGACATCATCCACTATAGTCCTGTCTTAAGGCCTTGAGTTTAGGACTGTCTTTACAAAAAATGGATGTAATGAAGAACGGTGGGTCTGACTGTAAATTTATTGGCTATTCTGAATCAGAATCAGAATACTTTATTAATCCCGAAGGAAATTAGGACTTTTGATCAACAATAAATTAGCCAGATAACTCCCATTAGTGAAAATGGTAAATGGCCTGTATTTGTATAGCGCTTTACTCGTCCCTAAGGACCCCAAAGTGCTTTGCACATCCAGTCATCCACCCATTCACACACTGGTGATGGCAAGCTACATTGTAGCCACAGCCACCCTGGGCGCACTGACATAGGCGAGGCTGCCGGACACTGGCGCCACCGGGCCCTCTGACCACCACCAGTAAGCAACGGGTGAAGTGTCTTGCCCAAGGACACAATGACCGAGACTGTTGGAGCCGGGGCTCGAACCAGCAACCTTCCGATTACAAGACGAACTGCCAACTCTTGAGCCACAATCGAAAAATAGCATAACAAAACAGACTTAATTATTTATTTAGGATAACCAAAATAGGTGACTGAGCCCATAAACTGAGCAGGAAAGTGTTCACAGAGGAGACGTCAGAAAGCTGTGTTTCTCTAGACTTGGGACTGAAAGTCTTTTTGCAGCATCTTGCGGCCTTCATATGGAATACACGTTTTTAGGCTCCTATGTACTGGTTTAATTTTTCAGATCCAGAAGCTACGTCCATGTGTCCATGATCACAATCTGCCCTCAGGCTGTGTTGCAATAATAATAATACAGCAAAACCAGGAAATTCCAAAAGGCTCAATCCCAAATTTCTTTAATTCAGATTTTTTTTTAAATTTCTTCAAAAAAAGACATTTTCTCCTTTTAATTTTGAGACTATCAGCTGTACTGTACATGTTGGTTTTCCTCACGTT